CCAATGGGGAGCAAGAAGGCAGGACGGGGAAGACCTCGCCTGCAGAGGCCCATGCTGGCTGGAGGATTTCCACGAGGGCGTGGGGGAGCGTGACTGCAGAAGTGGCCCCACTCACAAATTCTCTGCAGATCAGTGTTTCTCCCTGTATGCTATTTTGGGGACTGGGATGCAGCAAGCTATGTGTGGAACAGCGCTCCTGGTGGCTCTGTGCCCACTAAGCTTGGGAACCACGGTCTGGGGCAGATCATAGCGCAACAAAGATCAGAGTCAATCAGCCCAGACAATGGGTTCAGATGAGCATTGTGCAATGACTAAAATTTGCAATGTGCAAAACAACAGAGAAAAGAACACAAAAAAGAAACACGCTAAGTTCACCATTCAGAAGCCTTATTATAGATAAGAGCTTACAGGGAGCTCAAGGGTCAGATACCTCTGTCTTCACAGTCACTGGCATTTTCCCTTGTTCTCTCTCTCTTTTTTTTTGAATCAGTACTGGGCATTTAACTCATGACCACCTGCTTGCAAGGCAGGTGCTTATTCCACTCCCCAGGCCCTCCTTGTTCTCTTTTAAATGTAAGTGCTGGCAGGAGGATTAGAACTCCAGTTGCTTAAGGGCTGACTGACCAATTTTGTCAGATCCTAAAAGCAAAGCAGAATTTATGGAAATAGAGAGGTGTTACTTTCAGCTTTGATGAAGATACCTTGGCACCAACCTCGGTATACACTCAACACCAGTGTGCTGTAAACACAAGTCACTACTACTGCCCTGTACCCCAAGAAGTTTAGGTGAAGTTAAATTGTGGGATTTCTCAGACGTAAATCTTTGGGACAGGCGTATTAGATCCTTTAGAGACACCACTCAGCAGAGTCTCGCTCTGCTGATCTGTGAAGGGAGAGTCACAGGCTTGAGACGACACAGGCCACTTTTCCACACTTGCCTTTTTCAGACAGGGGAGGAATGGCAAGCAGGTGAGCATCCCTACTCCCGGCCGCCTGCGAAGTAGCAGAGATAACTTCACCATCGGAGAAACTGAAATCAAGCCTCTGCTTTAACTCAGCTGTCAAGAGATTACCAAGAAAGGCCAAAATATCAACATACTCTGCATTTAGTTCCAGGCATGTTATTCTTAAAAGAAAACCTTAGAAATGAATAAAGGTATGCCTCATTTTAAGGAATCTCAATTTTCCAGAAAAAGTTAAAAAAATACATGCAAACTATACTTTTGTTACAAAAAGGCTCTGCTAACCTGCCTTGGATATGTAAGAGAACATAAAATGCTACTATTTAATCATACACAATCTTTTAGGAATAAAATGATTGAAAAAGTTAGATTTCTTAATATCATTGAAGCTGATGGCATTGATGAAACCTCCAAGCAAGAAAGAACAATTGGAGAACGCGGTAAGAGAGTTATGGTTACTATTTCATTCTCAAAGAGCGTCTTTTCTTTTGTTGCCATTATTCAAAATTATCAATGCCCTGCCATGTCTGCAGTCAAGTGTCTTGCAAACATGCTTTTCTATTCAAAAGTATACTTCAGTGCTATAGTTCTAGGGTTTTACAGCTGACACTGAGGGCTAAACCTTCCTGACATCCAGCCTTCAGTACAATAAGAGGCTCCTCCCCTGGGAGAACCAAAAGGACACCTGCTTATGGACTAATCCCTTGGCAGAGAAAGTCACAACCCCAGCCTCTCAGTGAGTGGGGGAAGGTGGGGTACTCGGGGGAACCTTTCTTAGGGCACTAGACCAAAACAGTAGGAAAGAGAACCCCAAGAGCAAGCTTCCCTGGAGCTGCAGGGCTCAGTGTCACCCTAACTCTGGGGTATCCTGTGCAGTACCCTAACTCTGGGGTATCCTGTGCTTTGGTTTTCTTTTATTTTCATCTTTAAAACTTTTTTATTAGTATATGTCTGTGAAACACAATGAATATATTCCCCTTCACACCCTCCTATCGCTCCCCACCCCCACGAAGTCTATTTCCCTGTTTCCTATCATCTTTCTTTTATTTTGCTAATTAAATTACTTATATTTTGGCTTTCCATGTAAGAGGAACTAGGCAATATTTGACCTGTGTCTGTTTTATTCCACTTATTACTACAACATCTATTTTCCTACAAATGACTCAAGTTTATCCTATTTACAGCAGAGTAGTACTCCATCGTGTATAAATCCATTTCTTTATCCATTTATCTGCTGATGGACATATAGGCAGCTTCCAAGATTAAGCTATCTGAGTCATGTTTTGGTAAGCATGGGCCTGGGTGTATCACTGTGTTAGGATGCCTTTAACTTTTGGGGGAAGATACCCAGGTGGAATTTCAATTTACTCACTCTGGGGATGGAGTGAGTAGATGCATGGAAGTCTCTGTAGACCACAAGAAAACACAGGTGATTTTTTTTGCACCCAAGCATGCACCTGCACTCTCTCCATCCCCTAGAAGAAGCGCCGAGAGGATGCTTTGAAAAGCAGCTCCTGTTTCTCCCCAGGAGGGATTTCTGTTGCACTCTGAGTGTCTGGGCTCTTGCAGCTCCTTCCCAAAGGCCTCCATCCTAAACTTCCCAGTCTGGAGATAGAAGGACGAGGCACCCACACGTGTCCAGGATCACAGGACTATAGGAGGAAGTGGTGGTTTACGTACAAACACATCAAGGACAGCACCCAGGGGAGTAGGGCAGAAAGGGACGGGAACACACAGCTCCCATTCTCTCTGGAAGAAGCTCATGGCCTGACTTTCAAAGAAGTTGCATCACAGAACTAACAGGACAAATAACCAACAACCTTGTGACCACCAGAACTGGAGCTTGATCTTTGGGAGCTTCCCCTCCACTCGCCCACGATAAAACCCCGCTGCCCATTCTTCCTGCAAAGAGTATGGCTACCCACTGAGGCCCACGGCTTTTATGGAGCCCCCAAGGTGCTGCCTCTACCACACTAGCTCTGGGAGGCAGGGGGCTTGGCGCTCCTGAGTGGTCCTAGACTGCTGAAAACAGAGAAGACACACACTAGGTCTGCTCCCAGCAGCTGACTGCCAGTATCGGGGGTGCAGCCCAAATAGGGCTCAGGCAGGTCTTACAAATCTTCTCCCTGGCCTAGTGTAGCAAGGTAGAGATAAATGCTCCTGCCCAGCTTCACCAAGAGGGAAGAGACTGGAACAAACAGCAAACACCCCAACCTTTCCAGCTGCTGGAGAATCTGGCAGGGTACAGATAGGAAATGGCATATACTCGCCTGCAGGGGCCACTAATACACAGACAGTGGTGCTTCGAAGGCATCTGCAAATCTCGAGCTGGCTGGATTGCTGAGACCCTTCTCCCACCAGAGCCAGTCTGAAAAGATATCTTATCTCCGTGCAACGGCTAAGACAGAGCCAAAGAAAATGAAGAAAGAGGAGAATGAGTTCCAAATAGAAGGAGAAGATAAATCTCCAGTAACTGACCTAAATGATGTGCAAGTATGTGATTTACCTGACAGGGAATTAGAAGTAACGGCCAGGAAGATGTTCCCACGGTCAGGAGAGTTGCAATCAAGTGAAAATTTCACCAAAGAGATAAAATGTAGAAAAACATACCAAACAGAAATCCTGGCACTCCTGAGTAACATAGTTGAAGTGCAATATTCAGTAGAGGGTTTAACAAATGAAGCAGAAGAAAAGATTAGTGAACTCAGAGACAGGTCATTAGAAATCAGGCATCCACTCTGCAGAATAAGAGAGCAAAAGGAAAAAGACTAAAGCTCGCTTGAGCTGCTTAAGTGAGAAAGGAAGGAAGAGAAAACATATTCATAGAACTCACAGAGAAAAACTGCCATGCCTGGGGAAGGAAAAAAAGCCAGATCCAGGAATCCAAAGGGTATCAAATAAGCTGATGGCCACAAGTGCTGCACCGAGACTCATCAAGGTGACACTGCCCAAAGCTCAGACAAGGCCAGGGGTGTCGCTCGGTGGTAGAACCAGCAGTATGCATAAGGCCTTGGATTTGAAAAAAGAGAAAAGAGAAGCTAGGACCAAAAACAATACCAACACCAGAAAACAAAAGGCAAAAAGAGGGTGTTCAAAGCAGCCAGGGAAAAGGAGTCACACGACGGGTGAGAGTGTCCACAGCTGCCCCAGCAGAAGCTGCAAAGGCCGGAAGGGAGAGAAAAGCTGCCAGCTAAGAATACTGCAGCCAGTGACAGCGTCTTTCAAAACCAAAGCGGGGACAAGGTCTTTCTCAGGCAAACAGAAGACTGAAGAAGCAGGGCACGAATGAGTAACACGAGACTATGTGGAAGCAGAAAGCTCGCTGGGGAAAGCAGGTGCGCGGCCCAGAGCAAGGCATTCCAACAGGGAACAAAGATGGGCAAGTCAGTCCTGACTCTGGGTAAAGATCAAAGGATCAAACTGTCAAAAATAATGACGATCATTTGTCCAGGTATACAGATTATAAGCCAGTGCCAAGTATGAGCTCAAAATCACAAGGTAAGGAAGGACAGCGAGAGGTGTAGTTTGTGTGTGTGATCTGAACTGAGACCCCAAGCACTCGTAGCTATAAACATAGTGTCATAGCTCATGAATTGGCTAGCTTTCCCTATCAGTACCAGCATTACTGTAGATCAACTTTTAGCTGATGAGTTGCTACCAAACTGCCTGGAGGTCAGGGAATCACTTTCTAATCTCAGACCTAAAACAGATACTTGGGTTGATGAACTTTGGTTTTAAATTGAAAATCTTTATCAAGCCTACTGGCCAGCACTCCAAAAGAGTTCAATAAGAACTAAAAAAGAGCAAAACAAGGAATACTCACTGGTTACTATGTAAACAACTGAACAAGTAAACTCCCGCTAAACATGCATTCTTCTTGGGGGGTCACAGTCCAAGTTTATGCCAAATATTAATTCCACAACTGCAACACTGTACTTGATCAGGCATGTAATGATGCTCTCTGTTTATCTGGAAAGGCCCACAAGGTAGAGGAAGGAGCGATCCAAAGATGGAAGAACAGAAGTGCTTTTCACTCACCTGGGCTGAGAAGCCACAGAAGAAACCAAACCAGCAATGCACGAGTGTAAATGCAAAGTTCTTGTAGAAGAAATAGCGCAGGAATTTGCACATTCGGAAGTAGGACCACCTTCCGTGGATGAGGAGAAGCCTCTGCAGGTATCTAAACTGGGCAAAGGAGTAGTCGCTGGCCAAGGCTGCTTGAAGCCCTTCCTGGCCGCTGATGCCGACGCCGATGTGAGCACCTGTGAGGATGAGAGAGACTTGATCGTTCCCAAAGGGAGGCAGAGCCTCTTCAGGAAATTTACCACTTACTGAAAATCTGTGACTGAACAGTTACCCTTCTCTCACACATGGCCTCATGAAATACTCAGGACGACTAGATTCCTACCCTAGTTGTAGGTAAAAGGAAACCGGGCTGAGAAAAGCCTGGTAACTTTCATAGGGTTTACAATTCACAAACAGGAACAAAAGAGGTGGATGCAGGTGTCACCTTGAGGCGCTGGACTTTTTTCATCTATGCAGCAGCTCCTTAGGCCGCTAAGAGGTGGCCAGTGAATTTTCCTAATCTACAAAGTGCGCAGCTGACCTCATTAAAGACAGATCACCATATGAATGGTAATAATGGTGGAAGCACTGGATTCAAAAGGATCCCAGACCCAGGGACCTAAGAAGCTAAGAGCCACGGCACAGTTCAGTTTTCACGCGGTCCCAGCACACATCGTCAGAGGCTGAGCCGGGTGCATGGAGAGCCCCTTCTGAACGAACACCTCGTACTTTTAATCATGCTGACATCGTTGGCCCCATCGCCGATGGCCAGAGTGACAGCATTCCTGTGCTTCTTCACCAGTTCGACCACTTGCGCCTTTTGGAGCGGGGTGGTTCTGCAGCAGACCACGGCCTTACACAGGCAGGCGAGTTCCAAGAAATCATGCTTGACGTCGCTCTCAAGGGCATGGGCCTGGAACAGGCAAAGAAAAGAGACAGGAAAGAGACACTCAGAGCAGTACTCTGTCCAGTGTTTAAGCTGGCTCTGTAAAGCTTGGTCACAAAGCAACAAAAATGAAAGACCTGGCTGCTGGATCACATGTCCTTGACACCCAAAATGCTAGCGTGGTAAGAGGCCGGAGAAGGGACTCACTAAGTAGCCAAAGCAAAAGAAGAACCCGGCCACCACCTGAGGAGTTTACCATGAACAATAAATGATGTGATTTGCTGGTTGGGTTAGGGTGGTGAGCAAACAGCTTCCCTAACTATCTCTGTCTTGCTCTTACCGACATGCATAAGAGCTTTTAGATCTGCTAGGGGGTCTTCCTAGAAGGTAAGTATAATCTCCTTCAGTTAACCATGTGTTTAGTTTTCTAGAAAGCACGTCACTGTACATTTTTCAATAAACACATTTACAAGAAACACAAATCCACTTAAACTTCCAGGAGTTTTCAAGTGACTCTTTAGCAAGACATTCACAGCCAGTTCCAACCTGGCCCATCCATTCCTTTTGCATTTTATCTTCTATGGGCATCACCTTTAAGTCCACGTTTTACTCTCCTCAAGCCAAATTGCTTGTTTAATTTAACAGCGCTCAGCTCTACCTTTGTCTTGCTCTCCTTGCTACTTGAAATTACCAATTTCTCTAGAAAGTCTTCCTTGATTTTTTGACAAGGAGCTAAATGTGTCCATTTCTGTGTTCTCCAAGCAGTGTGTTCATTCTTCTCTTACTGTATGCTTCACAAACTATTAGAAATAATCCCTGAAGCCAGTATATTGGGTTCCATTCACATCATCATCTTCTGACTCTGACACTGTGACCTGCATGTGTTTAATAATTGCTAATGGAGGAAGGGAAGGCCAGGTGAACGAGTATAAAAACCTAACTCTGGTGTAGAAAACTCTCACACCCAAACCCGTAATTCCTAAAGGAATTAGCATTCTCAGAGGTAATCTTCTTTTTGAAAGAGAAACCATGTTACTGGCTGTCTTCCTAGAGGGGTCTGCTTCTATCTCTGTTCTTTCTTTTTTATAATCAACAAGTGAAAATCTAGGCTCAGATCTGAGAAACTGAGGCCCAGTTACATTCTGCAGAGCATCAGGGTTTGAAAAAATTGGAAACATGATTTTAAAAAGACTTCTGATGATACTTAAAAATATAGTCAATTCTCCTTAGAGGAAAATGGCATTTCGTGGTTTCCTGGGAGTCCAGCTTTCAAGCTGAAGGGGTTCCCTGAGAGCGTTTGTCTCAGTCCCTTCCGTCAGCAAATCCAGCAATGAAGAGCAACAGTGGGACCCATGACTGTTGAGTTCTCTCCCCCACCATGTTTTGGCCTCTTTCAGCCGAGCTAAGCACGGCTCCTCAGGAGGCCTCTCCATACTCTGGTCCCCGGGCAGTTCTACTGGGAGGCCACCAGCTCCAAGTCCCAGCTGACAGCCGTACAAGTTTCAGTTGCTGCTCATATGGACAAGGGAAAAGTTCGTGTCATCTGGACAAACTTTCGGCCGAGCTTGGCCTGCGACGAAGCTCTGTAACTTTCCACGGTGCAGAAGGCAACACATCATTACGTCTGGAATCCAGCTGGACGAAGTGCTGAGCGCTAAGAGCTAACAGACAGATGATCACGAGGGGGGAAACACAACAAGCTCGGGTCCAACTTCTTTTGTCCTCTAAGAAAATGTCTTCGGAAGAAACATTTATTTTCCAGACTCCAAAGTGAAAAATGATCATCAAAGCCAGAGAAAGAAGTGAGATTAATTCTTTGTGCACATAAATGATAATTTCACTAGGATGCAATCGGAGCTTTTGTATTCTAAATTAGAAACTCAGAAGAGTGTTTTGATATTTGTTCAAGACTTGGAACCTGAACTACATTAAAAGTACAATGCAAGTTTATTCTATTATGACAAGAACCAGATTTCCTAATCAAAGCAAATTGTTTGGCATTGCCGTAAAACACTGCTATTTAGAAAAACCACCAGAGGTATCTTAATGGCAATAATTTGGTGTGGTAATTATATGAAGGTCAGGCTCTGCTCTGCAAATCACAAACATTGGCAAAGCAATCATTGCAATTCATCCACCAAGTGGCCTTACTTTAATTAAATAACAGAGAACTGGACACTCCCCCTCGGAAAAGCACTTAAACAATGCTGCTAAGTGGTCCACAGTCATTTAGAAAAGATTGATATTCTGCGAATGCAGTTTTTCTTTAGAGCCTCCCTTCCACAGTGTTAGTTCAAGCAATAATGTATGAAATATATATTGGACGTTTCCTTTGCCTTTGCTACAGGAAATCGTTGTGTGTGCCCTGTTTCTTGTACTGTCATTTGCCTGAGAAACAGAAGAAAAGCTCTATTGTGACCGCACAAAGAGAGGATTATTGGAGAAAGGAAAAGGGAGGACAAAAGCCTGCAGCAAACTCACCAAACTGTGCCCGTTCACGACCAAGGCGTAATCCCCTGTTAGGGTGTCTTCTCCCAGTGAGGCCAGCTCCAGCTTCTGCCCCTGTCCATACACTGCATGGCCATCGAGAACGCTGTTGCTTTGTCCAACCAAACTTTCCTTTGCCTTCCTTAAAGAACAGGGGTTGAGAAAGAAAATCACAACAAAGTACACAGAGCATGCCTTCCACTCTTAACAAGAGACCAACCTCATGGCAAACCTGCTCCATCCCTGGTCAGACCACAGAGGGCAGAAGATCCAGGTTCAGCGAGCTGACTGGGAATTCCTTGTGATACACAGACCATGGAAAACTTCTGGATTGCAGGGAATGGGCAGGTAAAGGCAATGAAAACAAAGTCATCTCAAATGGTTTATATTACCTACAAGGTATATCATCATCTCGGGCTAGCTTGAATAGAAGTGCTTGATAGATTTGGTACAGACCAGCTGCAGAACCACTAAATAATGGAAAGCAAAACACTAAAGGCAATTGATGAAATCTAGGAATTCCATATATTTGAGGTACTGTGTAACATGATCCAGCTTGAAACAGTGATCTTCTGCAAAACACATTTTTTAGAATTGACAAAAAATGCTGGCTGATATGTGCCAGTCATTATAGAGTAGAATATTTTAGATAAAAATTGTACTCATCAGGCTGAACAATACAATTCATCCTTTAGGAAAGTAACTACACACACAAAGGTATAGAGGCTCGATCCAAATGCAGTCTCTTTCCAAATCCCCTAGATCTGAACAGCAAGAACTCTGGAAGAATCCTGCCCACATCCAACCCATCCCTCTCACTGAAGAGGAAGCCTGTAGTGACATAAGTCCCTTAGATGACACATTTCAAGATTCTCTTCAAAATCCAAAGATGATGCCTTTAAAGGATGAGCCTCCACCCTGGATGACTTGAAGTGCCACAGCAAACCAGATCTGACTATGGAAGCCGCAGCCACAACCACAGACCTAGCTACCAAAGGTGGGCACCCAAGCCACCAACCCTGGAGTTCACAAGGGCATTGTGAGGCTCGTGAGGCACATGGCCAGGAGAAAATGGGGGTGAAAGACAAACTAGATGGCTTAGGGCAGAGCAGACAGGTTCCCAAAGGACTCGTCCAACATAAAAACATTTATTAGGACGTTTCAGGCCAGAGGCGCCCCTGAAAGAAAACTAACCCTTTTCACCTTCAGCTTTCCAATTGCCCAGCAATGTAATACTGACCGTTTATATCTGAAACGTCACAACAAAACCCCAAATCACCACAACACAACACCTCATCTCCTGGCTCAACACCTGCTGCTGTCCAGAACACCACCTGCTGCAAATCACATCAAGGTACACAGAGGTGGCGCGCCCCAGCTCTGCGGATGGCATCTTGCAGAACTGCAGAAACAGATTTACAAAGCCAGGGGGCTGCGTGTGAAACACGGGGAGAACCAGGAGGCGGGGAAGGCAGAGTGGATGTGAAAAATCACTGGGAGGTACGAGAATCAGATTTTCACAGCAGATAACCGTGCCAGGGAACCCTAGCCGTCATGGAAATTTACAGTCCCGCAGCATGAAGAAAACAGGGCAGAAGCGTTCCTCCGAAGTGGACGTTTCTCTGACAGCACCTCAGACCTCAGCTCAAAATTGGATCTTAAATCACTTCGGAAAAACATCTCCCAGGGTCTCCTCGGTAAAGCTTTCGCTTGCTCCGCATAATGACTGAACCTCTTGTTTCCCCCCCACCCAGAGAAGGAAAACATTCCGAGGAGGGTGAAGTTCACCAATGTATTGGCTGAAATTCTATTTACTTAGTATTTTCCCTCCCCCTCCCAACACTGGCTTCCCGACATGTGACATAAACCCTTTCTTTCAGGCAGAAAAGGGACAGTTGTCCCAGTTCTGTTTAATTCCCTCTGCTCTCTCCCCGTGGGATGTGACTCCTGGACAGCTGAAGGGCTCACTTTCAGCCCTTTGCCTGGGTTCTGTAGCTGTCATTTCTTTTTATTCCTGGAACTTAGCTCTTCCAACACCAGCTGGTTCTTGCAAAAACAATTTATTAAGAGGGAGGGGAAAAACCATGCCTAACTCCCTTCAATGAATAGAAACTATACATTTTCTGCAGGCATGAGACACAGTGCCTGACCACAAAAGATAAACAACTCATGCTAAAACAGAAGACGGCCTGTGTTTTCCAAACTTGCTAAGTTTACAGTAATGGTGCTGTGCGAGCATACATTCACAGCTGAGCAACCATGGCATTCACAGTCCCTCACCATCATGAGCCCAGCAAAAAACAGACAGCCCCTGCGGGCTGGTGTGTGGCCTGGGGAGGAGAAAGGAGGAAGCAGAAGCAAGGACCTTTCGGTCAGTCAGGCCCCCAAGGAACTCTATCCCAGCACTGGAAGGTTCTGTTAGGAAATGGACTGAACTCCTGACAGCGTGTTTAATAGAGGACAATCTGGACCTGGATACCGAGGCTGGAGTTCTGGGCATGGTACTTGGAGACCTGCGTCCAGGTACAAGGCCTTCCTCTGATAACTTACAAGCCCAAGGCGGAGTTACCTGACTTCAAGGTACACAGTCAGTCAGTGACAAGCCAAAACTAGAACCCAGGACATCAACCTCCTCATTTTGGTCTACCATGCCAAACTGCAGGCTGCCTCTGATTGGACAGATAGAGTTACAGAAGGGCAATTAAGGGACCAGCACCATAGCAGCAGAGGCACAGAAAGGAGGAAAACTCGTGAAATTTTGATTTCAAGGCCCACTTCCACCATCCCTTATAACTTGAAAGACCTATGAAACATTCATGCCTTTCATTAGTAACGTTATTATTAGAAAGGAGAGGGTGGGACCAGCTAGCCAAACTGGTTGGGTATTGACCAATGAAAATGGTTAACAGCTACAGAACCCATGGCTTTATAGCTGTGGACTAGGTGATCTCAAGATTAAGTTCACTGAAAGTTTTGGATTTATGAGAGAAATTTAATCTACTAAAACATTTTGCCTGGATGACTGGAAGTTTGGGGTTAAAACAATACTCACTTGCTTGGGCCTGTACAGGGCTTCAAAGAGCACATGCAACTCCATGGCCAGGGTGATGCGCCTCTTCATGGACTACCTTGACACCCTGCCACCCCACCCCCTGACATAAATGGCCCAGATCACACAACGCGCATCCCCTGCACTGCTCAGCCCTGAGGCTATCTGCATTTCCAAGCCCTGCGCATTCAATCCAATAATCTTCCACCCAGTAAAAATACCAACGCACATTTTGTTGATTAAAGAGGAAATATCAGTTCTTAAGAATATCACGGGGATACTCTGTAGACGCAATGAAGTCAGTCACTTCATGGTTTAATGAATTTTTCTAACAACAAGACATGTGATCCATGCTACAAAAATGAAATATGGAATGAGTTCTGCTGGCAGACCAAACAAAATTACATTCTCAGTCTGTTTTCCTCTGGGCCGAAGACATGGACTGAGAAAATGTAATCAAGGCAGAAATCTTCTGAGAAACCAAAGCGGGGTTTTAACGCAGGGTTCAGGGCATGCCCTTAATAGCAAGACTGCGGTGGCAGCAAAGCCAAGCCAGGGCTCCAAGTGTCTCAAATGGTTTTGAGACATTAAATTTGAAACAAGCCGTATGTATGATACACACGAAAATTACACATCCATGTTTATGAAATAACCTAAACACATCTGACAGGTTTAAATATAAGCATTTCCAATAGCTACTATCGCTCAGATCCTATTCTTTTGATATACTTATTTTTTTGCATGAACTTTCACTGAACTCAAAAGCATAACACAAGAAAATGGGATGGTACAAATTTATGATTTCAATATTTCACCCCAAAGGTAGGGCTTAGGTATAAGTAACAAATATTAGGACAGAACGCACCTTGAACCAATCCCTTTCTTGGTGACTCTTTTCCTCCCTGGATTTACAATGAATCCAACATGTAAATGTATTGATTCCTCCAAAATAAACTTTTCTACCATGCAGTACCTCTCTCTTAGATTCTAGGAATGTGGTTTCCCCCTATACTGGGTTGAAATCAATATTCCCAAGCAGCTGAGCAAAGTGGCTGTAAAATACTGATTCCAAGTGGAGACTTTTTTCCTCTGAATATTTTTCTTCTCTTAAAAAAATATACTTCTAGTTTCTTCTATTTATGAAGGTTTGCCATGAACACTATCACAACTTCAAATAGTGCAAAGTACCATAAACAAGAAAGTAAACACTGTGCATAATTCTATTACCCAGAGAGAACTGTACGCTTTCCAGAGTTTGACAAATAAGTAGGTAAATAGACATATGGTATTTTTTTTTTTTTTTTTGTCTTTTTCCCTTTTTATCGGTACCAGGGATCGAACTCACGACTGCCTGCTTGCAAGGCAGGCACTTATGCCGCTGAGCTAAATCCCCAGCCCCGACATATGGTATTTTATAGATGCACCCATACATATAAAACTGTGCATGCATATTATTTTGGGGCATGGCCTACCATGCATGTTTTATAATTTCATTTCTCATGTGATAAATCATATCACTGACATCTTCCAAAGTCAATAAAGACATACTTTTATTGACCGCATAGTATTCCATTGTGTGTATTTAACAATGTCTTCCATGGCAGAGTATTTCTTCTATTTCTAATTGTATATTAGTATAACTGATATAGCAATAAATATTTACTTATATACATATTCACACTGTTTTCCACTTACATTCTTAGGAGAATTCCTAGAAATAGGAATCACTGGGTCAAAAGTAAACTACATAATTCTGAAACACACAGCTAGCTTATCCTCTAGATGGTTTGTACCAGTGTACATCCCACAAATTATAGAAATAATATGCATTTCTCCAAATTTCTTCCACACAATGACAACCAGGTCATCTATTTAGTCAACCAAACCCATCTGGATAAAATCTCAAGATATGAACTCAACCAGTGCCAGCCTGGCAGGTGACCCTCTGTTTACTCTCCACCCCAGGGTGCTGTGACAGGCTACACACAGGACGGGAGGAGTCTACATGGACTCCTGATGCTCATTTCCTTGTCTGTATGCCATTATGATTCCACACAGCCAGAACTGAACTAACTGAATTTTGAGAGAGGAAAACAAAAGTTTCCCTGAGGGCTGATTCTCGGAGTGAGCGGGGCAGAACACAACACTGCAAGAGCAGAGTAAAAGTCATTTACAGAGCATGAGACCAGACCAGGACACAGAAGTGGGAAGGGGTGGACGCCAGGTGGGAGGCACTGGTGGGCAGTGACAGGAGAGGCCAGGGTACACCCCAGACTTGAGCTACAATTGACTGACACTGCACAGTGTGATTATTCTGCCATCTGTCAGAAAAGGGAATCTGACCAGGTCCTGCCCTTGGACACCTGAGCATATCCCAGCCTGTGGAAATCATGGCCAAGCCTCCTCTGCTTCTCCTCGCACACAGTCCAATGCCACGTCCTCTGTGTGAGCCCTCTAAAGAGCCTGGCCTCAGCCTCTCTTGCAGACACCATGGGGCATGGCAAGGAGGTCATTTCTTTCCACTCCGCTCCCTCAGGCAGTTTGTGCCACTTTTTCCTTCCTACGGTCCCAAGCTCACTGCCTTATAAGGAAGACATACAAAAGCATCTTTTGGGTGGCAAGATTGTGATCAATATCTGAAGGAAAGTGGGAATGGGGAGGAGGATGTGGAGGAGGAATGGGCAACTCCATGAACAGTCATAAGCTCACCCTAACTTTGGATGAAATATTAAAATCATAAATTTGTACCAAATACAATAATCCATATTATTGTATGGATAATTGCATCCTCACTTTACAAATAAGGAAATCAGGCAGAAGGAGTTTAAAGAACGTGTCAAAAGGCTCCCAGGCAGCTAGGGAGCAAGGAACTGGAATTCCCACTGCAATCTAGTTGACAGGAAGTCCACACTCTTGCTCCTACCTAGGGAGGCGCCAGTGGTTAAGCTGGGACCACTCACTCCAGTGAAGCAGGGAGATGCACACAACCCCGTTCCTTAGATCAATCCTCAAAAGTGGGGAAGAACATGCCAAAGATGTGCTTAGGGAAGCTTACAACCATCCACAAGGTGCACAGCTGCTGCCTGCAAAGCCCAGCTATGCCACTCATTAGTGTGGGCAAGTTACTTCCTTGTCTGTATGTCAGCCTCCTCATCTGTAAAACAGGGATAATGGTAATGCTAATTATGGGTCTCCTAGGAATGAAATGAAGTAACACAGATCCACACTGCACACAGTCCTATCCCAGACAGGCCCTCAAACTTTTAATCACCGACTCACTGATTCCAGGTCTGCTTGCATTTTTATCTTCCTTCAGCAAGAGTCAAATATCCTCCCAAGACAAAACATCATTCAAATAAAATTTTTAAAATTTTAATTAGCTGTTAAATTATTACTATTTCCCCAAGAGCCTATATGGTGTCCATCATTAGAATTATATGAAAATGATCTGAAAATTAGGCATTCCAACAGAAATATCTTCAGTGCGCTATCAAATAAAAAATTCATAAAACACTATGGATAATAATTAAGTTGTATCAGTAAAAATTAATTAGATTTAAAATTTTTACTTGGCAAAAACTTTTGGACTTTCTACTCATAGCTTCTAACCAATGAGAAATCTGGTCTTCAAATATCAGCTGGTGGGGCTACATCCAAGGTTGCCTTTCCAGCAAGTGGGGTTTAGAGAAGCTCCTACAAACACCAATAAGCAAAAATTATTGTGAGACAGTATTTTTAAATGCTAGGGGGAAAATTATATAGATTTTTCAGTGGTATCCAAATGAAAAAGGAAATAAATTGGTAGATATTTGCAAATTTTATTTCTCTAAGTCTAATGTTTAACCACTATTATCCACAAGGTCAGGAGTCATATATTTTCTGGTACTCCATAGCAGTTTCACCACTGTCATGGCCTCATACTTCTCACAAGCATTATACATTTAGGTTCAATGTTGAGTGTCTTGGTTACTTTTCTCTTGTTGCTGGGGACAAAATACCTGATTCCCAAAATTAGGCAAGGAAAGCTTTATTTAGCCAAGTTCATGAAGGTTTCGACCCATATTCAGCTGGCTCCCGGCAGGGTGGCACAGCCCAGGGAACAACAGTTCACGGCAGCAGAAGACAGCAAAAGCATCCAGAACAAAAAGGGGAGGAGCACAGAGAAAAGCGGGTTTCTGTCCCTTACATCGTATGCAGGCCACAGCCACCCTACGGTTGTAGCACTCAGTCTCCTAATCCCAGCATTGGGCCATGAATCAATCACAAACTCTAGAAGCCTGCCCCCATGACTGTATGAAGCTTTGTGGGGATATCCAGACACAAACCATGAGAGTGAGTATGTCAAAATACCTATTTTCCTTAATGGTAAAAGACAATTCCAACTCCACCTGCCATCTATTACAGCTGCATTTTCCAAATTTATCTACTCATCAACTTCATCCAGTTGTTCATCAAATACAAATCTCCATGCCCCAGTCTCTGGAAGGTCTTAATTTGCAGGTCACAATAGAGCCAAGGAACTCACCAGGGCACAATTTTAAAGGACGACTCAACATAAATGATGTGGAATCCTTTGCTAAGAATTCTCAGGAGACAGTGGAGGCATGAACACAGTGATTTGCTCCTAATATCAGACACATCTGAGTTTGTCACCAAAATAATGGGACATCAGGGCATGTGCAGAGCATACTACACTGGATTGGAACCAAAGAAGGCACTGGCCTTCTTTCTGCTCCCTCCGTGGTCTGATTTCCCTTTTTCCCTCCTCCTTCCTGCCCACCTTTCCTCTACTGTTTCTCTCTTACCTGAGCTCTTCTCTCACTTCCTCAACGGAGTTCCCCGCTATCACAAACACATCATTCATGTCCTCGGTCAGCATGTTGCAGGCATAACCAATGTTGACGGCAGTTTCTGGTGCAAAATAAAGCTACTTCAGTTAAGGCAGCACTTAATAGCATAAGTGTGTTTTCATAAAAGCGTTGAAGCCATAGCTGTAACTTGTCACATCCTACCCACCCGGTTGCTGTTAGATAGAGCATGATGGATGGTAAAATACAAGCAAACCAGAGGGAAATTCAAAGAATTTGAATGTGTTCCATTATCAAATTCACCATCCCTAAGCGCATGGGAGAAGTAGCAACCTCCACAAAACCTTAGCCTCTTGTTTACCTTTAGAGTCTCAAATTATCATCCATAAGAAAACCCATAAAGGTACCCTTTTGTGGTACTGTAATGTGTGGGTCTTCAATATAAAGCTTTTGATCAAACCCTGAATATTGCCAAAATATTAAACTTGGCTAATACTCGATTCTAGAATGGTAGGCAAATGGCAGAAAGAACTCATACAGTGTCCAGTTGAACAATAAATAAAGTTCTTAAAAATTATAGTTCTCCCACAAGCAACATGGACATTTTTCCATTAAATGAACAGAAATTCGGAATTTAATTATCATCTCAAAAACCACCCAGAGCTGCTCTACTAGACAACTGCAGAATAACATAATTTGAGGGCAAGGTTCCTCTACTTTTAGAGAAATAGAGCCCAGGATAGCTTCCTTCCTTCTTCAATAGACTTATTTGATCCTGATTCTACAACATCATTAGAGGCTAGCTAACTCTGTAGAACTGTTAGATTTGCTCTAAATTGAAAAAGGCAATTGATAAAATCTCAGCATATCTTTTGTATAAACTAAAGCATATCTCTCATAAAAATCAAAACCAAATAATAATAAATTCATGCATGTTTGTAGTAATCAAACAGCCTCCTACATGGACCAAGAGCATGTTGTAGTGAGTCCGTGTCTAGTAATATATCAGAAGGTTCCACTGTCTACTGTTCTGTTTTTGAATCAATAACTTCAACAGAGATATAGAGAACTGATTTATCACATCTGTAAATACTCCAATGCTCTAAAAAAAAAAAAAATGACAGCAAGTAAGTATAATCTTTAGAATAGGTGAAGCAAGTTAGAGATGTGTGGCCCCATCAGAGCCAGCTTATCCTGCCCCTGTTCCTGGGGAACAAATTCCTAGGGAACCAACATGGCCCCCATGTGCCCCAGTGTGCCCCAAACTTCTTCCACGAGAAAAACTAAGCCCTACAGGCCATCCTTGGAGGATTTTCCAAGAGTTAAAGCCCAAGACAGCAGGGATGGAGGGTGCTATGAGTCCTAGAAGAGCCCTCTCTGGAGCTGATATTACAACGACGTGGGAAATAAGGTCATTTCTCAGAAGAGCCCTCCAGGTTCACAAAAGGATTCCAAGGCCTGGCAATGTCCGACCTACCTTGGAGGGATAGCTGATGGTTCTGCCTACCCAGTACAACCAGGACAAAAGCGAAGGCTTTTAGATGTGGCAAGTTGATATGCCAATTCAGCTTTGCTGCCACATCTGAGGGAAACCTTCCCAAAGCAGTAAAAGTCCCAGAGACAGATTCCAATTAAAATTATCACATAAGGAATAAAACTTCTAAAATAATAAAGACACTTAAATGGTAACCAATGTCATCAAGGGAATAAAAACCAGTATTAGAAAACAAGTTAATTATATAAAAAATAAAGGTCACCTAAGGAAAAGAAAAAATTCCCTGCCATCTTTCATAGCCAGCTGACATAAGCCTTTCAAAAGTCTCAATCTCGATCCTTTGTCACAAGAGAGAAAAGCCCTCGTGGGACAACATTTCATTAGCCTGTAGGCTCCAGACATCTTCAAGACAATTACAAAAACTCCAAATGGGACCCTAGACTGCCTTGGCCAAATTATCGGATATAACATTCTCCATCTATAAGAACAGAGACTTGGAGGAGAGCCATAGGAAAAGACAACAAAAACAGACAGGCCAAAATTATGGCTGCAGCCACTAAGGATGCACTAAATAAACCCCAGACATGCTGGGCCCCAGAGGGTTCCCAAAGTGGCCAAAAGGAGCCAGGATAAGCCCGCCCTATGGGCAGGGCTGAGGGATACTGGGCCTGTGACTGCTTAACGTCAGCCTCAAGGCCCGGTCCTCAGTGTAAAGACTCCAAGTATGACCCATGAGACAGGAGGAACTCAAGGCATGGAGACCACCACTGTGACAGAGGAGGAAGAGGACAGAAGAGGGCTGGGCTTCTACTTTGATGCCCCCATTCAAGAACACCTGTGTCACCTCTAAAACACCCCAGGTACTGACCCTAGATGTCACTGCCAAGCAAATTCAACTCTTAATCAACAGAGCGTTTTATTCTCTACTAATCTCTTTCAGGGTGTGGTCAACCTCAGACTCCTTTACCTCAATTCTGGGGATGGGGGGTACAAAGGCCTAATCAGACTCTTAAAGGGACCTTGGCAAGCTTAAAGACAGGCCAAAGCTTAGGTCCACATGGAAGCCTGAATGAGAAGCCCTTCTTGTCCTCACGGGGCAGGAAAGCTGGGAGGTGAGAGCTCCAGGCCTGGTCAATCCAGGCCGAGCACAGCAGGCTGCCCAAGAACACTGCAGAGCTAGACTTCGGGCTCCCGAACTGGAAGCAGTAGAAATCCACCTAGAAATCAGGCCTTATTACAAACCCAGAAAGGGGGAACCCCTTCAGGCCAACTAAAACCCAAATAAGGGGCTTATTTCCCCTGACTACCCATCCTCTCGCAGGCCACCCCTTAGGGTCCAGGCAGCTCCTGCAGAGGCTGTGCACCGAGAAAGCCCTGCAGCCCTCAGGTCATCTTCAAAGGCCCGGACCCACCTGAGGATCCCAACTCTAATTCCACGAGGGCGTCTTAAGTGCTGTCACTGACTACAGCTCAGACACCCTTTCTGACTCCATCCTATTTCTAAATTTCATCTTAGATCTTCTCTGCGAAGAGCATCTGACTATAAGCGTGGGACTCTCGCAACCCCAGTGGACTCTAACTCTGAGACCTAGTTACTGTTATCCCATGCTCCTGTCTTACTGTCTAACTGCCTCGGATTCAGTACAGTTTAAGGAAAAAATCAAACTGACAATCTCCTAACTAAAATCTTACTTAGGTAACTACTGCTCATGTCAGCCCCCAGCAGGCATTGAATTATCCACAGCACTAAGTAATCAGTCTCTGAGGCGTGGAGCCCAGAGGGTACTGCGGCTTCCAAAGCCCAGGGGTCACTCTCCAACATCCTGTCTGAACTCTGAGAATGCCCCTGATTCCCCTGAGAATGTGGATGGGTACTTGCATGCTGTTCTCATCTCCCCTGTGTTTGCCATTCCTACCTAATCTCCCAGCCCCAATTCCCTCTCCAGGATCCATCACTAGCCACTCCAGGAAGGCTGAACCAGTTTCCTTCCTCATGCGTCTACGAATCCTCACAAGAATGAGAATAAGATAGAATGGGAACAGGAGGCCTAATCCATTTTCTGGTCTTTACATGAGAGCTGGCACTGTCCCTCAGTTAACAAATAATTGACCTGACTGAGGTCGCCAAGCCTCTTCCAAGACAAGTCAACCCTTGTAGCCCAGCTGTCCTCCAAAGCCACAAGGCACTCAATTTGCATACAGCCAACCAAGGCAGCACTTGAGCCATGCTCAAGGAAGAATGTTGCCTCTTTACTAATGAAACTGGTTAAGGTACAGATAACATCATTGAAAGCCAGGCACACCAGACACACTATCAGCACGAGGCGCTCGACCGGTCAGATCACAGACTCAGGATCTGCTCCCGGTTCTCCCGGCCAGCTCCTTTAGCTGCACCTTGCAAACCACCATCCACCTAATCTTTAGACCTCGCCCAATCACCCTCATGTCTATCTTCCAGATGACAGCAGCTATAAGCCAGGCTCATGCTAGTTTCTGGGTTTCAGCCTATCCCACCAGAACCCAAGCCTAAAGGGCCAGAGATCCTACAACCTTTAGATCAGATAGGGTGAGCCCAGGGCCCCTCTAGGCAAGAATGATGACCTTTTCCACAGGGAACAGTTACCCAGACAGGACCTCCAGGCCCTCAATTTCCCATAAAGATTCATGGGATCATGTCTCTTGGGGAAGCTGAGGCAGGAGACATCCTGGGCTCAAGCTCACGGCAGACAGGATGCTTTCTGACACCTGGAGATCATGGGGCTTGAGCCCAAGAAATGTGCTCCTGCCCTTACCACTCATCCTGAACTTTTGGCATGAGGCAAGGAGCGTGCACTCTGGCTACAGGCTCCCGATTCCTCCTGCCAAGGGAGAATGTGGATACTCAGTGTGCTGGACAGTTAGGGCAGTGAGTGCTCTTGCCCTAGCCCAATTCTAGGAAGACAAACAACACCTAGCCTAGGAGCTCCTGCACCAGCTGCCAGCTCTGGCCACGCCCATGTGGAGCTCTTGCAAGCATCCTTCAACCCTAACCCCAAGACAGAGGGGACAAATGCACTCTTGAATTTCCTCATCATCCACTCTGTAGTCTACACCTTTAATAAATCTCTGCCTTTCTTACTAAAAAATAAAATAGGTGTGGGTCAGATAATTATTTCCAGTATAGTGATAGCGAAGTGTAAAACCATTTTGATTTTTAACTATGACTGTTAGCCAAATAGCCAAAAAAGGATTCAGCACCTTTTCTCTTTGAGGGAAATGGTACTCTAAACAAAAGGACTTAGCATTTTGCCAATTCCAAAAGTGGGTTGATTCTCACTGTCCTCCCAGAAAAGAGGAGCCAGGCTGCACGGCTGTAGCTTTGGTACAGATTTCCATGAACAAGAAACAAGCTCATGTGACTCAGCCTCTCCAAAGCCCGTCCACCACCCCAACCTCTCCTGTTTAGAAATCAAAGGTGCAGCCCACAGTCCCCAAGGTCCTGCTTCAGCACCATGCAAATCTGTCCGAATTGGGGGCGGTGCTCACGGGCACAACTACTAAACATTCTAGTACTATCATGTCCCGTAGCTACTAGAGACAGTTAAATTGAAACTCTGCTGTCCCCCAATACATGATGGTATTTGATTAGTTTGGTTTTGCTTAAGTAGTAGATTCCTGCACGGTACCACCTTTGTGTGTGTGTGTGTGTGTGTGTGTGTGTGTGTGTGTGTGTGTGTCTACTTTTTGCTAGGTGGAGGACTGGACAAATATCTAAGTAAAGTTTCCGCTTCATTAATGATTTCACCACAGAATTCAACTCCCGTCTTTTAAACATCATCGCCATCACCACTGTCACCCGTCTTCAAATCACCTTGTTTGTCTCCTGTTAGAACCCAGATCTTAATATTGGCCAGGGATAAACTTGCAATCGTTTCAATTACACCTTCTTGTAACTTATCTTCCACGGCAGTGGCACCTAGGAGCTTCAGGGGAAGATGGAAAACAATTCACGTTAACACACGTAACATGACATTCATAACATTTGTCTCTTTCAGGCTCAAGTGGGGAGGTCAAGGAGTAGGCGTGGAAGAGGGAGGTTATTCTGTGTTGAAACAGAAAGTATCCTATGGTGTTTAGAAGTGGACTGGAAAGGACCCCAAAGCAAATTTCAAGCAAATCTGAGGGCCAAGAGCTTAGGATTCTGAGTGACCTACAGGGGCAGCCTGCTCAGCCCCATGGCCCCTACTACTTAGCTGCTTCTGCATGGAGAGGTCCAAACAGGGAAAGCCCTTGGCTCATAGCCAGGAAACAGATCGCCAAAAGCTCAGTGTCATTGGCCCACATCTACAAATTAGCACTGCCTTAACTAATTAGAGGCAAGCTTCCTGGGCTCCCTGGTACCCACAAAGCCTCGCTGCTCGGCTGCTGGCTCCAGGGAAGAGCAGTTTCCAGCACAGACCATGCCCTGAACTGCACGGTCAGCATTAGACTCTCCCGGGCCATGGACGGTTAGGGTCAGGCTGTGCTCTGAAAAGGTGAGTCTTACAGCAGGGAGAGAAAACCAACCCATAACAACACAAAGGAGACCCTGGGAGTTAATAACTAGTGAGGAGCTGCTATCTTCAGCTCCCAGTTAGAGAAGCAATAAAGCAAACAGCGATGAAGTGCTGGGGCCACCCAAGGCCAACTCGGTTAACGTAGCCTGCATCTGAAAGTGCGCTGTGTTGTGTGTGAGAGGATTGAGGCCCTGGTGATCCCACAGCTGCAGGCTTCCGAGCATGTACCATCAGGTCCCTTTCGATTTCCTCATACAGTGCCGATATCTGCTCGTCCCTCTCATGGCTGGCAGCACTGGCAACCTGGAGCATCTTATGCCATTCCTTGAAGTATTTGTCCTCCAGATCTCTGTAGGCGATCGCCAAGGTCCGAAGGCCTTCCCCTGCGAACTCCTGCAAGACAGCGAGAGTCAGGAGCCCCAAGGAGCGCAAGTCCAGGCGCATCCCCTGCCACCCTGAAGGGGAAAAGGCTTCCCCTCAGACTCCTGTGGTCACAAAAGAGCACCTTTGGCCATCCTGACTGATGTTTAGCCCCTCAGCACTGGGAGATAAGGTTTGTTTGCTGTTGAAACCTGCAGGAGGCACAAACCTGTCATCTCAGCCATTTGGGAGGCTGGGGCAGGAAGATGGCAAGTTTGAATCTAGTCTGGGCAACGTGGTGAGACCCTGATTCCTAACAGCTATTTTAAAAAGGGCTAGGGATATGTCTCAGTGGTAGAGTGCCACCGGTTCAGTCCCCAGTACCACAAGAAACAAACAAACAAACAAATCCTCATGTGGGTGTTAAGACAACTGAAACATTGGTGAAAGAGGCCCTATTGAGAGGTGATGGATGGAGCCCGACATGGTTTTTATTTTTATTTTATTTTAATTTTTATTTATGCCATTAAGGCGGGTTTTTATTTTATTTTATTTTATTTTTGTTTTATATTTTTTGTTTTTAACTTTTGAGACAAAGTCTCACTACATTACCAGGCAGGAGGACTCAGATTCGCAGTCCTCTGCCTCAGCCTCCCTCCATGCTGGGCTTACAGGTGTGACCAGCTGGTCCTTATGACTCTGAAGCAACATGCACTGGTTTCTGGTGTCCCCGGCATAAAAGAATGTTCTTCTTTGGTGGCCCCTGGCTTCCAGTGAAAAACAAAGAGCTCAAGGGCCCCAGGCTTACGGTCCAGCAGGATGCATTTTGGGAACCACAGCCTGACCCCTCCCCAGGTTTACCACACTCCCCCTAGTATTAGGCCTCTGCCCAGAATTAACCCAGGCCTGTTTCTGTATGCGCTCGAAAACTCTCATGATGAAAAACTCAAAATAAATAACAAATGAATTCATGGGTGTTAAATAGTCGGGTAATAGAAATTGAAGCATATTGCGTAGAGATGTAAAAATAACAAAAAGGCAGAGGAGAGAAAGGAAGAAAAAAAGCAGGCTAGAAATAGAGGCTGATTTACTTTTCCTTCCATGGTGCAACTGCAAGCTTTTGGTTGTATGAACATCTCGCTTTAGTCATAGGAAGTTTTTTGAAATTTGAAAGACAACATCATTAGATTAGGCCAGATCAGCTATTAAAAAACCATTATTATGTTCCACAGTTAGTACTTAATAGTGACTCATAGCCATCGGAAAACCATTCTTTTCTGAGAGGGTCTCAGTCGACTGACAGTTTCCGATGACATCTCTGCTACTTTATCCTTCTACAAGAGATGGAAAATAGACTTCTGGCTGCTATGAGTCTCCCATAAGCGCAATAGCAGGAAAATGCATAGGTCACTTTGGGGAAACTCTAAAATCCTCCCACCTCCTCGCTGCCTGCAATGGTCACTCTTTATGAAGGCTCTTCCCAGCGAGCCAAGTGTTTTATAACCATTTCTGTGCCTCTGGGCATTGCCTTTGGACATGACTTCTCTATTGGGTTTTGGCTTAGGGTATGGCTAGAGATTTATGCACAAGTTAAACCATTAAACATTCTAATTAGATAAATAGCAAGAAAAGTCAGTGCATACTTGTCATGCTGCTGTTGGGCCTGAGAGATCACGAGAAAAATTACCCAAATGTGTTACACAGACATTGGGTGGCGCTCTGAAGACTGCCATCCCATTTTACAAGCCCGGCCTTCCAGGACCACCGCTGAGCACCCTCTGATCTGCAAATCTAGTTACTGCCTTATAACGCTCTTTTGTCCTGTTAATTCGCACAAACACTGCTTCTCCTTTGACTCCCAGGCCCACTGGCATCCGCAGTGCCTCTCTCTGTGTTCCCTGCTGGTACAGAGAATCAGCTCAAGGATGACATTACAAAAGAGGACAGATGATTTAGGTTATTTAATTAGTGCTTGAAACACAAGCTTAATCCTAAATGAGCACTGAAGCGGGGTCTTTTCCTATCATTAAACAATTCAGAATCAATAATTAAATACAATTTTTAAAACTTCAAAATCTAGAAGGCAAAATAAATTAAGTGACTGAAGCAAAGAACAAGTCAAGTTGATCTCGCCAAAAACAAACAAACAATTCTTTTGCATAGACACATAAAAATACCAAATTAGGCTTCCTGTGCTTTAGTATGAAAGGAGAAAACATGAAAATCGAGGGCCTTGGTGTTTGAGTAAAGGCAAAAATCAGATAGTTATGATTCCAATGTTGTTTTCATAAAAAAAATTTTTTTTAAAAGACTACGCCAGCCTTCTGGAAAAGATTAAAAGAAAATCAAGAATGCTCTATTGGAAAGACAAAAACAATAGCTATGTTTGTAACCAATATTACTAAACCATCATTTTTAAACTTAAAGGCAGAGTTTTTATATTTTATTTGTTTGTTTTTAAGGATTTAGAGAATGTTTTATATTAACTATAGGGCCTGACAAAGAACACAAATCTTCAAACATTTCTTTTAAGGGGGAGGAGAAAAAGCAATGGGAAAATGAGCGTTCTGACCAGCTTCCCCCACAGTTCATGTGGGGTTAAACAAGACCTCAAGGGAAAGATTGACCTCTCAGGTTCAGGTCCCCTAAGGCTCATGGGAGCTCAGGGGCTTGCTCTTTGAGGGTAAATCAAGGTGCAAAAATCACCTTCGCTGTCTTCGGAAAGCTTTCGGAAGGTAATTCTTGGAGGTGCCAGTTTGCAGCACTTGTGATGGGGAGCGTGCATTAGGGACCCTTGGAGGGAGAAGGCCAGCTTCAGAGTCAGCTAGAGTCTCAGCACCCAAGCCCAGCTCCGCCACCTCCCCGGGCACACCAGGGCCAGGGGAAAGAGCGCTCCTGCTCTGCTTCTTGGAACTCATCCAGGCTTCCAGGGAAAGTGTCCCACCCCTGCCCCAGAGTCCCCCGAGCACTGGTGGAGTTCAGGGTCCATGTGGTATGGCTCCTTCTCCTTTGTTGGTGAGCCACTTGCATGAGACTCACCGACACACAGGCCTTGGTAGCCACAGCTTCCTGGGCGTCAGGCCCTGGGCTGCTTCCTGGACTGGAGTCAGATCATCTCCCCGATGCTTCTTAAGCAAGACCCAGCCATAGGAGATGGCACAGGGGCCACTGTACCACCCTGAAGGCAGAGACACTTACGCTGAGATGGTCCGATGTCACAGACAGAAGGTCTTTGCTGGAAGGGTGCAGTCTTTCAAACAGGATGGTGTCTGCTCCTTTGGAATAAAGTTTTATCTGCCCCGCTGGGTTTCGAACTGAAAAGAAAGCAAGTTTGGAAAAGGGGATCCTCATCAGGGAAATCTGTCAAAGCTATGCCCATGAGGCGGTTTGGAAAACCTGTAGTAAAATACTCGGTGACACTGGCTAAAAGGCCATACCTAAGTCCCTGGGCTTTCTTCCTGTTTTACTGATTTAGAAATATTCTTTCTACTGGAATCCTTTGACTTCCCAAAGACAGAAACAAGGGTTTGTGCTCCGATGCATGTGACCATCCTGTTCGCCTCGCCTAGGGTGGCTGAAGGGCTGACACATTTGAATTAAACCTTCCTTACCGGAGCGAATTCGGACCTGGGTCTGAAAGCTCCTGGTGTGAAATTCAAGACCTACTGTTCAAATCGCTATCACTGTTCGGCCAAATTGCCTTCATATGGAATTCTAGACGTGCAAGGCATGGTGAATGCATTAATCCTTGGCATAACCCTTGATGCATAAATCCTTGATGATTTATTTCTTGACTGCCTCTGCTCTGGGAAAAGCCCATGGATTCTCATTGGTTTACTCCTGGGGCAATCACGGTGGAAGTACACCCCATAGAGAGCTTTTGAAAACTAAAAATACAAAGCTTCTACCTTCTTCCTACAGGAAGGCTGTGAATATGAGGCTGTGTTTCTGACCTCCCTCGGTTTGGGAACAACAGCTTTTGCCGTTCTCCAGCCCTTCCTGCAGAGGTTTCAGAGTCTCTGACCCCCCTTGTAGGCATGGTTTCACAGCTGGACACAGAATAGGCACTTAATAATCACCGACTGAAGAAATACATGAATGGGTGCGTGACACGGTTATATATTTCTTCCTTCCCTGGAACTGTTTACAATTTAAGATGACTGTGTGGGTCCCAGCTTCCTGCTCAGAACCTCATAGCCCTCATGGGCTTCGTCAATTAAACCAAAGAGCATTCCATACTTCCCACATAATTATACCTTTTCTCTAAAAGTAAAATGCCTCAGAACAGTTGAACAGAAATACCCACTACTATTAATGTAATGGGATATAAGCTCTAGAATTTGATTTAAAGGAATATAACAACCCAAGTACAATAATTAGTTACTTTCCCCCTCTAACTTTTAACTACCCCTACTCAATGCTTAATTTATGCTGATTTCCTCCTGGCTCAAACAGATGTAATGAACCCTGGAAACTTCTTAGTTCATGATCCTGTCTAAGTTTCTCTTCCATTCTAAGCTCTTCTGTCAGCCTTCCTGGTCCCTGAACTCACATAGTTCTTATGCTTTACCACTGATTACTCACTTTGGGAGAAGGGGCAGAAACTATATAATCAATGCATCTAATTGTTCAATTAGAGGGAAAGAAATAGTCTGAGGGAAAGCTTTTCTTGCTTTTGTTCTACAGCAGTCCAAGTTGATAAGATCGCCCCATACTCTCCCTTCTATCACCAAGATACAAGTGCGGAATGGATATCCTACCCTTTGCAGTGGGATTTCTCTATGGTTATTTGTAGTCCAGACTAGGCTGAGATTCTCAAGTGTTTTGGTCTCAGGATCCCTTCATACTCAGTCCTTAGGGAAGCCTTCAAATCTGAATACATCAATACTCTGATAACATTAATTATAACATCCTAGAGCAATGATTATTGTAGCAGCAGTAGATCTAACATGTACTAACATAGAAACAATTTTCTACAAAAATAATTTTCTAAACAAAAAAGCAACTATAGAGAGTGACATTGTTTTGCATATTATAGATCTCTTTAATGTCTAGCTTAATAAAAGACTGCTGGATCCTCCTGGCCTCGGCTTCATTCTTCATGTGTGATATCACACATCATGCGAGCAGGAAGTAGAGGTACAAACCTGTAATTCCAGCACTTTGGGGGCTTGAGGCAGCAGAATTGCAAGGTCAAGACCAGCCTGGGAAAATTAGCAAATTAGTGAGACCTTGTCTCAAGGTAAAAAAGGGCTGGCTGGGTTGGATTCAATTATCAGACCAAAAAGTCACACTACAAAACTCTGTAGTATACGCATGAGAAAAAGACAAACAATGAAAATATTCTCATCCAAATATTCTCATGCTTGTGCATCCTCTGAAAATTTTAAGGTTCCCCAAACTACACATTGAGAACCTCTAGTCTGAAAGAATCACAAACTGATTGTGATTTGTTCCCCACTCCTCTGTATCTCAGTTTCCACATGTAGAAAGACGTTTAAACAATTTAACTTTGAACACCCTTTCCAATTGTGCAATTCTGATTCAATAAATACCTTCTCTACTTGGTGCCTTCTCTTAACCAGACCCACCCTTTAAATCTGAGATTGTGTGAGTTCAATTTCATGGAACGCTGCCTAAGTTTACTTACTAAATACGTTTATATCTCTTCTTTTCCCAAGGCTCTGGGACATTTCTGTTGAAAGTTAATAAAACCTCAGTCACGTCAGAGGTTAGCCTTTTTAAAACAAATTTAAAAGAACACAACAGTTTTACATGGTCACAGTTACATATGGGCAGAGGTCACAGGTTTTAGGTTATAAATCTTCGGTCGCCTGTCCTTTAAATAATGGAGAAAGCTCTGCTCTTCGGAGATATTCTCAGAGTCCTTTTGTCTTCCCATATTCATTCTCTCCATTCATGTTTGGTCTCAGGTTTCATCACAAGGCTAACTGCCCTCAAAGGGATATGGCCTGCCCAAAACACCTCCAGCAGCCCTCTGACCTACCCATCCCCTACCAGTTGAGCATCTCTTGGAAGTATCTGGGCCCCTCCGGCTTACCCTGGACACATTCACCTCTCTCTGACCCTTGGCTGCTTCTCCTATGACCCAAGTCTCTGTGACTGGCTTTGCCATGCATGCGGTCTCCAAAACTAGAAGTTCAGGCCTCACTCATCATCGCTATAACAAAGACACCTGATAGATGCAATTTGAAGGAGGAAAAGTGAGTTTGAGCTTGTGGTCTCAGCTCACAAGTGGTTCCAAGGCTGAAACATCATGGTGAAAAGGCACAGGAAAGGAAAGCTGCTTGCCAGAAAAGAAGGGAGCCTGAGAGACCTGAGAAGGCCAGAGACAAGAATATACCCTTCTAGGCTGCACCCACAGTGAAGCTCACTGGATTCACTACCCATGAATGAGGTTAACACTTGCTGGTCTGATCACCTCCAGCAGCCCTGCCTCACCTGAGACTTCTGGGCTATGTTTCTGATCCCACCCCTAAAAACAGGTTCACTAACGTAGTAGATTCTGTACCCTGTGACAAAATTCTACAGAAATCAACTTCTATTTAGATGCCACAGATGTAAATCGCAGCTCTGGCCTCAGAACAAAAGTCCTGCTGGTACTGAATCTATATGCTGATGACTGGATGAATGACAGACAAGACCACAAAAGGAAAGAAGAAAGAGCAGAGGGTAAGGTAGAGGAGAGAAAATGGGGAAGGAAGGAGAAGAGAGGAAGAAGATGAAGAAAAGATGAGGGAAAGGCAAAAGCAGCACCAGCAGCGGCAGCAAATGAGCCTTCACATCGGAGAGCTGCCCCATTTCAGTCCCGAGCCAGTCAGGAGGGGAGGACTGTCTTGCCTCGTTATCAGGCAGAGACTTTGCTGTCCTCCTGGAGTCCCTCTCAAATTCCTCTTGATTAAAAACCAAGTGGAACCCAAACCAAGCCCGAAGCCTCCATGTGCTCCGTGGTGGAACATTACCTTTCGTCATGTGCAACCCATTAAGGCAGACATCCGATGTTTGCGGTTAGGCTGTGATTTCCTCATGCCTGTGATCGTGACTGATGCTGAAGCAAAGCCAAGTCTCCCTGTGTAGCAATCTTAGGTTTTTTGTCAACACCCTCAGAGCAAAGAGAAACCAAGTCTGGGCCAAACCAGCTTCGCTAACACATCCCTGCAGTTGTAAATAGAAGACAGCTCCCGCTGTGGGGACATGGAGCCAACACCTACAAGCAGCGTGTGTCCCCCTAAGCAAAAGACGGCCAACAGTCCATTGCCATAAAAATAAACACAAATGGCTTCAGAGGGCACTCGGTTCTCACTTGCTGAGAGCAATCTTTCAGGAGCTGTTTCCGGTGGAGATCCCAAACCCTACCGTTCCATAGACATGCTTTTTCCACAGTAGAAACTGACATGAGACAAGGATCCAGACATGCATAAGCTACAAAGTATGGGTTGAGCTTTATTTTATAACTATTTACAGAAAAATTTCCATGTGCCACACGGTGTCTTGGCCCTGGGGGTTTTCAGGCTGATGCATGGTGCCTTCCCTGTCTACTGAATAGGATGATCATGAATCTTCGAGGACTGGTCCCACACTGGAGTTATGAGCAAAGCACTCGGAAAAACCGGGCAAAGGCAGTTATATAGGGAAAAAGAAACAACAGGTGGCATTTAAAGTGGACATTACTGGATGCATAGGAGTTCTTCAAGAAAGTAGTGGGGGAAAAGCATCGTTCCAGATAAGGAAAACAGCACCACAGAGAGCATAAGAGTGTGTGTTCATCCCAGGAGCGATGAGGTCTCGCGAGGTTGGAGCGCAGCTTGCAAAATGGAATAAAAGTAGGTACATGCCAGATTGTAAATAGTCTTGCATGTCACTTTAAGGCCTATACCCTTTAAAGTCTAGGAAGCCATCAGTGTTTTTTGCCTAAATGGTGGCAAACCAGGACTATGTTTTAAAAGGAGAGCCCTGCTGTCAGCAGAGAAGATTATTTTCAGGGAAACAATTTTGAAGATATTGCAATAATACAAGCAAGCAGTGACAGGACCCTTAATTAAGGCTGTGACATTGAGAAATTAAAGAAAAAAGACAAAAGACTTTTATTATAAAAGGTAGTTTCTGGAGCTATTTTTGGAAATGTTACCGTGCTGTCTTTGTGGAGGGAGGGTTTAGAAACAGGCTGACGATAGAGACAGAGACAGGGTTGAGAAATGTCTCAGACATCTCCAGGAAAAAAAAATGAGTAACACAGGAAGGTAAGTTAGCTAGGCGGGGGTGGGGGAGCCTTAGACTGTGATCCCCTGACCAGTAGTTTCAGCTAGAAATTTATTAGAAATGCAAATTTGGGGTCCCTGTCCCCAACCAGCTGAATGTGACAATGGAGGCTGAAATCCAGCAGTTATGTTTTGACAAGCCCTCTGCTGATTTTAGCTCATGAGAGCTAACGTTGGAGAACTCTCATCCCAGAGGCACAAGGACATGGAGGTATTAAAGGCAAGCACACTACAATAGAGGTGAAGAGGCTAGACGACCAAAGAGACAACCCTGGGCTCAAATACTGGCCTGCATCTAACTGGTTATGTGACAATATCTGGAAAGTTACTTAAAATCTTTAAGTACAGTTTCCTGTGTCCTTAACGAAGGTAATATGCTAATGAAACAATTCAATAAAAGAACTCATTATAAAGTGTTCGGTTCACTGAAAAGTTTTCCATAAAAGATAACCGTTAGTTTTAATTCGGGGCATAGGAAGAATAATAATTGTGAGAAAGACAGTTTCATACTTGACAGGAAATTTTGGGTAACTATAGTACAATTACTTCCAGAAGAAGGTTGAAAATGTGTGGATCTCAGAGAAGAATGAAATGGAGGGACATACACAAAGGTGACAGAATAGGCCAAGGCCATGTCACACAAGTAGTCAAGATCATCAGAACACAGGAGTGAGAGGATTAAGGAGTAGGGTGCAAGAAAGCAGTCTGCAAAGGAACTTGAGAAAACACTGGACAGGAAGAGGATTGGGAGCCAGTAAGGTCACCAGGGGGTGGGGGTGGGGTCAGAGAAGACAGTCAACAAGACCAAACACTGCTGAATATAAAAATACAGGCAGACAGAGTTACACTGGTGGATGGATAGATAGGGACTGTCCACCATGTTGAGTAGTCCTAGGTAACTGGAACTTCCGAGTAGCATTTCTTCTCGTGGAAACAGAAGAAGCCTGAGGGGCTGAACAGGGTAAGAAATCTAAAGCACACAAATTGGTCTTTGAGAAATCCACCTATGGTGAAAAGCAGAAAAAACAGACTGAAAAACGCAGCAGGCCTCACAAGGCGGACAGTGCCTTAACAAAACCAGATGGGGAAGAGTGTTGTGGCTCTCAAGAAGGAGTCACTGACAGAAGGTAAAGCAAAGCACAAGCACAGAAGGAGGAGCAAAAGAGGGTCAGGACCGACACCAGGGAGAGCCTCGGCTTTCAAAAGCAGAGCAATTTCCCCCTGATGGGGAAAGGAAATAAGTAAGGACCTCATCTGGAGAGGGGGAGACAGGGGACAAGTGTGTGTGTGAAAGGTGGGCTTCCCTAAAGCAGAGAATTGGCACCAAGGGAAGCAGGGATTGGTGGTGGTGGTAAATTCGGTGGAGAATGGACCCCCACAGAGAGGGTGAAGGGCGAAGATGAATGAAATGAAGAGGCTGCCTCTGATGGTCACAACTGCCATGCGCCTCATCGCCGGACCTCCTGGGGATGAACCCCACGGTGCCACTGTGAACTACATAAACTTTGGCAGCTTTCTCTGTCTCCCCAAGCCACAGCTTCATGAGCTGCAAAATGAGCGTGAAAATAATGGCACCCACCTACCTCGCAGTGCTTTCAGTGAACATCACTTAATTCAAGTAGAATATTTGAGACAGTGCTAGGCAGAAACATCGTAAGCCCTTGTTAAACGTCAACCAAGTATTATTACACTGTTGAGACTAAGCTGAGCATCCCAGGAACTCATGAAGTTACAAAAATATCGCAGATCTCAGCATATAGCCAAAAATGAAATGATCCTTAAAAAGCCTCAGTAGAACATAGCACCATTCAAAGATTAAAAATAATCTCAGCCATCCACCATACCTATGATCGACATCCTTTTCCGGACATTGTTGAAATCCAAAAAGGCGAGCAGTTGGTAAGTAACAAGTGTTCCCAGTTCTTCTATTGTGATTGTCTCCGGAGTCCGAGACTTAAAAATGAAGCCACAGCTTTTGGCAGCAGTTACCAGGGCCCCTTCATCAGGTGACTGAACTTGGTAAGTTAGATTTCCTAGAAAGGAAAAACAAACAAACAAACAAGTACATGGAAGTTGAGAATAACAACTAATGTTCTTAGAATTCCAACGCCAATCCCACCTCGTTCTTTTATACCCAACTCAACTAGCAGCTTTAAAACCATCTTTCCTATCCTTGGGCCTCTGCACTCTACCAACCAACTAAACCAGGCATCTGTGCTCTAGGATACCACCAGGACCCCATATGTACCGCCATGTAGCCCTTGTCATCTTTTAGGAAAATGTCTGTTTCTGAGTCTACTTCCCCTCTGCGCTATCAAGACACCATGCTTTTAAGTTTCTGGTGACCAGAGATGAACCAGGAATATTATACAAACTGAGTTTAATATGTGATAATTCACATAACACTGAGAGCAAGCCTCTGAGGTCTTGATCATTAAATTTATTATTTCCATTTTACCCCGTTGAGACTGATAGCTGATAGACCCCTGGTTCCTGGCAAGGTCTCACAGCAAAAAGGCCAGGGAGCAGCTTCTCTGAGTTCCACTTCCGCCAGTCACTAACAACCCATTTATAAGAACACATGTAAGAAATCCAAGGAAATAAAACAAATCAAATCTAGATCTCAGTACTTGTTACCTGATAGTGTGTGTTAGAGGAAGAGGAAGAGGCAAGAGAAGAGAAAAAGAAAAAAAATATACACTGAGCAAAAAATATATACCCTTTAAAAAATAGTATGGGTAAAATAAACCCTTCTATACCAAATGATATCCTGTAAAGTGAACTAGAAAAAGTAGACAAAGTTAGACCCGTATTTACTGATTATCAGTGATATTTAAGATAAACAGTTAAGAAAACAAATTGTATATTATTAGATATATTATGATTGCTTTGGGTTAAAAACAAAATAACATCTCTACTCAGTTTTATATATAAGGAAGTAAAGAGTGAAATGAACACAAGAAACATTACCATGGGAAGATTCAGGAAAGAAATGATCAGCTGCCTTTGCAGTGTGTCATTTCACTTGATGTAACAGCATGAATCAATTCTTGAAATTAAAAAGGGGAAAACTTAAAGCAATTGCTCAATCTACCTATGAAATCATAAAATAAACTTTACCTTTGGCAACATGGGAGATCAGAAGCGAGCGCTGACCTCTTTTGCTGCAAATAATATTTAATATTTTTGAATAAGTCCATTAACTGGAAACAAAGAAGAACTGCCCTGGTCAGACTGAAAAAAGCACAATGAGGGCATTAAAAACAAACATGGCAGTCAACTCTTGCCTTGAGGGCATTTTCTGAACAAGGAAAATTCAGTCCTTGGTTTCCGGTCTGTTCAGGCTGAGAGGCATAGCCAAAGCCTGACCAAAGTAAGAAGTATAGTGGAGACCACCTCTCAAAACTGACCTGCGATCTTTAAAAAGTGAATTGGAAATTTGTGCCCTTTTCAAGAGGCCTACAGTGAAAAATACCTACCTAGGTCCCTGTTTATAAGTGTGGGAAAAAAAAAATCTATGCTAAGAATTTATGACCAAACAGTAGTTCTTATGTATATTTACATCCTGATCTCACCATATCTGATGACTTAAAGAAAAGGTAAAGATGCTCTTCATCAGAACACTGATTGAAGCAAATGGAAATACCTTCTGGAAGAACCAATCAGACCCAGGGGATTGGACACACTTCCAAGAGAAAGTGGCAGCCCAAGGTGAAAAGCGGTTAAAGTAACTTAATAAGACACAGCGAGAGCCATCAGGAACAACAGAATCAGATGTCCATGCACGTCAGTTCTTGAGTAGACCAGCAATGGCACATGCAATATATTTCATATTTCCCAAAAAATTAAATAGAGGTATGAAATGAAGCAGGATGGAAAAAGAAAAAAGCTCCTCTAGAAAAAACTGGTGGGCTGTATAACATGGGGAAATTCCAAAAGAATCTTAGAAAAACAAAGAAATGAAAAATAAAAGAATATTAGAAGACAAGGAGCAGTGTGAAACACGGAACACTGAAGAGGTCACTACAGGGAAAATGGACCAGGGGCATCGTTTGAAGAAATAGCTGAGAACACTACAGAAGTGATAAAAGATGACATTTTATGGATTCGAGAATCTCCATGAAATCGAAGCAGTACATATTTTTAAGAGCACACCTACACTGCAGACATGAGGGAAGACAAGATTTTAATGTGGTCAGAAGAAAAGGACTGATTATCTTGAGGACCCGTGTGGACAGCTGAGTACAGAATACAATTGGAATAGCTGCATTTTGCTGAGAGAAAAGTGCTGCCTTGATTTTTTTCACACAAATAAACTATCATTCAAGAATAAAGACAAAGGCATTTCAAAGCAAGTTTCTGAGAGTTTATCAGGAGCAATTTCTAAAAAGAAACCTAACAGGCCAGAGATGAGATGAGCATTGAAGAACATAGGAATTGACACATACATGGATGAATCAAACAAACTGACTATAAAAACAATAAAAGCAGCATCTGGATTTAGAGAGAGTTAAAATACATGACAAGAATACACGACAAAAGTATAGAGAACACTGTTTTCAAGTAGGAGACAGTGGTTGTTTTGTCAAAAGAAAGATTAGGCTTTCAGGAGTTAACCATGAAAAATTTCCAGGTTAAACACTAAAAAAACTACAAATAAAAACTGGGCATAGTGGATGGCACAGCCCTGTAATTCCAGCACTTTTGGGAGACTGAGGCAGGAGTATCACAAGCTCAAATCCAGCATGGGTAATTTAGCAACTTAGAAGGACCTGTATCAAAAGTTTAAAACATTTTAAAAGGCTGGGGATACAGCTCAGAGCAGAAGCCCTGGGTTCAATCCCTAGTATCATAAGAAAAAAGAAAAACCAAACATTATTTCCAAACTAGCAGAAGTAAATATGGACTGCATCTTTAAGACAATAGAAAAAAAAACTAAGACTTAAACTTAAGACAAATATAAAAATCCGATGACAGAATGAAATCTTAATATACAAAACCATTATTTCTAAATACTTAGGCTCAAAAGCATAGTAACAATAAGTAAAGTTTAGCTTATTTATCTTGATTTTGTAAAATACCTTCAGTTCTTAAAATATGTTGACTGACATGCCATTTACAAGAGATGTGTCTAAGACACAAAAAGATAGGTATGAAAGAATGAAAAAGATAAAAATGCAAATACTAACAAAAAGGAAATATCTATATTAGTATCAGATACAATAAATTTTAAAGCAAAAGGTATTACTAGAGATAAAGAAGATGGCATGTGCTGATGAAGTTTTGATGCAGGTGTGGCGGTACACTCCAGTTGTAGCACCCTGGGAGGCTGAGGCAGGAGGATGGCAAATTTGAACCCAGCCTGGGCAACTTGCCAACTTAGTGAGATTGTGTCTCCAAAACAAAAACTGAAATACAGGTCAGTACCAAGGCCTGGATTCAATCTCTAGTAACAGATGCATGTGCGTGCACACGCGCGCGCGCACACACACACACACACACACTACCACCATGACACTAAGTCTAACCTAGTATCCAATAACATAACCTTAAAACATATGAAGTGAACATTAGTAAAACTGCATGTACATGATGGGCATATATAGGACCTAGTACCCAATAGCTGTTGACTGCACATTCATGTCAAACACACATTAAATATTTATAGAAATTGAACACTTACCAGACGTAAAACCAACATCAGCAAAATTTAAAGACTGATACAATGACATAGTAAGAAAAAGCAATTTTTGTTTCATTTATTGCCTTCCACTAAAAGAACAAGGAAGGAATCTTCTTAAGGTACTTGGAATTCCCACTTCTCCACTTTTAAATTTTCATCTGAGACACAAGACAGAAGGGCAGCTTCTCCAAAGAAGTCCCCATGAAACAAACATGGAACATTTAAAATCAATACTCTTGACTACCAATTATTCAATCATCTAACTTTAAGTACATTAGATCAGGGTTCTGCTTCGCCCATACACTTATAGAGAAAGGTTCTATTTTCCAACATACTTTAAAGCATGTGGATTTATTTGAGCCCTTGATCTTCTGCCCCATAACTGAAAGATTGGAAAGGAAAGCTAGTACAAGGTTCCCTTGGAGATACAATCCTTCACTTAGAATCTGCTATCTCAAAGCAAGAGACAGAAACAGTTGGAAAGGTTCACTGATCTAATTCTCCTTCTGAATGGCAGGCCAGGAATGAGTCTGTGTCCACCAGCCTGGTTAAAATGCCAAAGGGCCCGACACCCAGTTCATCCCTCTAGAAACCCTGCCCTGCTTCGACACACTCATCCTGCCGCTCGTGCCGCGGGCCAAAGCGGTTGCAGAAGTCCTCTGCGGTGAGTGTCTGATAGAACACATCAGTGCAGTGACCACCGTGCTGAGGGCCGCCGCCAGGAAGGCAGGCTGCTGAGGACACTGCCCGGTGGCCTCGTTCACCTAACTCACTGGAGCCGGCACCATGCAGCCTCTGGCTCTCCCCCAAAGTCAAAATGACCGTGAAAGGTCAACATTCTGAGTCAATTCGGGACATCAAGGCGGCCACAACAGCACAACTGAAGACATGAGAGAGGGCTCCTGGAGCTCCTCAGCAGCTGGCAAAAGGCTGGGCCACATGTGTGCAGGGCGTGGGGGTGGACTCTGCAGGGCTCATGGCAGTATGTCTGTCCTTCTCCACAGTGACTTTTCTTAAGCATTTACTATATTTTTTGATCACAACTCACTGCTCCAGACTTCCGTAAGGATAGACAAAGAAAAGCAAGGAAAAGGAATTTGTCAAATGATGATTTCTCCCAGGCCAGAGGTACATGTACAGTGCTATCTCATGTGGGTCTCTGGACAAGCAGGCTGCGACCCCAGCTGCGACCCCAGCTGTGACTCCTGAATTGTGGGGGAAGGACCCACAGGAGAGGACAAGCTCCGTGGCCCACCCCTTCTACACCCCCTCGGAAACCCACTGCTGCAAAGACATCCTATACTCATGGGAAGGGGGTTCTTACACACAAATGGGAATACACAACACGAAGTCCAACACGGAACCCGCGAAATGTAATAGAAGAAACAAGAGAATGTGTCCTTAAGTATAATTAATATCTTACAGAGAACCAAAGAATATAAGACTCTTAATTGGGGCACCAGACTGCTGTTAAAACAAAAAGAACTTTGGAATGAAATAACCTCAAAGAGCAAAGATTAAGAAACTTACTTAAAGGCATGTCCCCAAATGGAAATAGAATCAGCCCTTGCTGGTGTCAGATGAGTTAATACCTTAAGTGTGATTATGTGAATGCTCCAAGTGCTTTGAGTCTGAGGAGGGGGCTTCTCTGGTGTCATCAAAGGAAAACACTGTCTCCTAAACACAGTCCCAATGTGCGGGATCCAAACAACACAAAAGCATGTGTACATACGAGAAAGGCGTCTATGCACACATATGGGTACGCACACCCCAAATATACAAGTCTCAAGGTATTTTACTTTTGATTTGAAACTACTTGGGTGGTAATTTTAACTTGAAATCTGAAAGCAGGGGGGAAAAAGGACAGAGTAGAGGACCCTGGGTAGTGGGAAGGGAAGAAACTGACTCAGAATGGACAGTGGCCCAGCTGGGTTTGTTCTATCCTGTGAAGCCTGAACTCCCGCATCCACACTGCACGCATGAGGGTCTTTTCCTGTGACTGGCATCTCAGGGTCCTCACTCTCCTGTTGACACCATTTTCTTTCTTTAAACACTCTCCACATTTTTGAGAAAGATTCAGGATACAAAGAAACGAAAGGAAAAGTTAATGACAGGTCAACCCTTTATGCAATGGGCTGCTTTTGATTCAAGACCATTTAAATTTAGTACTAGCTCGATCGTGACCAACGAGGCCCACCATTTTACCTGAGCTGTCCTCCTCGGACATCACGGTGTGGCACAGAGCCAGCAGCCTGAAGAACTCGTGCACTGTGGGGTCCCCCAGTTTGATGGATTCCAGCAGACGGAGGTCAAAGAACTGAGATCTTTCTGCTGGAGACTTCTCTGAGAAATCCACAGACTTTGTTTTCTGTAGAACAACAGCAAAAGTAGCTTGGATCTCAACCCAACAGTAATCTTTTCTAATTCACAGTGACTTCCTTCAAATATTTTTAATGCTTCTGTGATAATGTTTCTCAAATACAGCCTTCTAATTTCAGAGTCACGCACCAAAGCAGAAAATCAACCAGAAGTATATGGAGGGAAAAAATCTCCAATGCTCAACTATTTAAAAATAAAAAAGCCCAAAAACTTTTCTGAAAAATTGACTTGGTAGAAAGACCTCACCTGACTTAACTGGACAGCACTATCTGACCTGGAGTCCTTGTCTTTTTAGCTTACTTAATACTTGTGAATTATTATTTTCAATGCAAGAATACTAATCAGTGTTGGAATATTGATTGATTACTGAGTATTTTCCCAGGTTTCACTGAAGACATGGCATAATATAAAGACAAATACACCATAGTATCTTCCTATAAGAAGAGAACTCTGAATTTCTGAACACACTTAGTGGATCGTGGGCCTGTCTCTATTTTAGGAGTAAATCTACAGGTGGTTCTTCCCTGCACACTTACTTATAAGGTCTTATCAGGTACCCCAAGATCATCGCTAGTGTTTTTATTCTCCAAGTTTTCATTAGTTTTTATGGTATAACTCCCTTAACTACTTTTTCCAGGAGAAACAATGCTGTGTACAAATTATTCATTCCAAGTTTCAGAACTTGCTATTAATACCTGCAATAAAAGTGGAGCCAAGTGTAGGGCCTTTGTTCTTGGAAACCAGATTTGTTCTAAACTTTGTAATATTGAATAAAAATAAAAATATGTAGCATCATCTCCACAGTGGGCCAGACACTACCTGAATAGCTTAACATGAATTATTGCACACAATCCTCCTCACAAGCATAAGCAGAAGACACTAATATGCTTTTGTAAAGATGAGAATCAGCATGGCTGAGGTCATCTCTCCAGGAAAAGGCAGTCAGGACAAAACAAAGCCAAAATACTTCCCTGGAACAACTCCTTGACCTCGTTCTTGGTGATTTACCAGCCTCTCACTAATTTGATGGTGGGTACCATTTATCAAGTGTTCACCGTAGAGTTATATCTCTTTTGACTTAAGTGTTTGCTCTGTTTTAGATATTAAGTGTCCCCCAAATACATAAGGAAAGGGCCCCTGCCCCAGAATGCCCATTTCTCCAGGTGCTATGGACCCCTAGGAAGTGAGTCTTGGATCACTGGGACCGTGCCCTCCACATGGACTGCAGAACCAGGGCCTGTCCCTTTTCTGTCTACTCTGTGGTGCTTGTTCTACGCAAGTCCAGGCACGACACACCACAATTTAACATCCTTACCAGAAGCCAGGCAAACAGTGCTACACCAGCTCGGGCTCTGAGTCTAATTTGTGAGCTAAATAAACCATTCCCTTTTATAAATAAGCCAGCCCAGGTATTTGTTGCAAAGATGACCAATGCATTACTTTTAATACGTTCAGTCAAAACAATGCATGCAGATAGCTATAAAATTAAATACAATGTGAAGGATTATAGAGTAAAGAAATAGGCCTTTATCATTCCCCAAAGAAATGACTCTCAAATATAAGAGTGTATTAGACGGCTCTGCTGGAAATCTGCATTTTGCACTTATAAAACATTTCTAGATTTAGAAAAAATATTTGATCTTACCTAAAAAGAATTCCTTTCACAATTAGATGGCAATTTAGTTCCTTTGCTCATCTTTCCCCTCTAACAGCACAGATCTATGCATGTTTTAATTTTCCCACTGGTTACTGCTATATCTTTACACAACATAAGGAGGGCTTTTTGGTTTTGTTTCAGCCCATCAATTGTAAATACTCCCTTTTCGGTAAGAAGAAATGATTTCCCCATCCTTCCCTCCCCCAATTTCTCATTTGTTGTTTTGTTTTGTTTCACCATAGAGGTTTAAAAGATTTGCATTCCATTTAGTAACCAAACTTAAAACTTTCTCCCTAGTCTAAGGGTTGCCCATAGGAGTTGGAAATTGGTAAGTGGTGGTGTGCACCGAGGCCTGGGTGTGCCGTGTTGCTCAGAGCACTTTGGGTCCCCAGGTCTTCCTGGTCAGTCACCTAAAGGCTGGCTGACTGCCCTGTCTGCTATTCAGCTGCAGCCTGGATGTTCCCAAACCCACAGTGGGTTGGGCTCACCATCTGCTGATGCCTTTCTGTTTCTTAGATAATTCGCTTGTCCTGCTGAATCACAACTTCAGTTACTCCGTAAGCAAAAGGTCACGAGCCATGTACATCTTAAGTCTTTCTGCGTGGACATATCTTTGCCTCAGTGTTCTATCTGATACAGAACTTTAGATGAAAACCACTGGAAGAGCTTCCTGCACTGACCTTATACCACCCTTGATGACCCTTTGGTGGTGGCCCATTTCTCTCCCCCTTCTTCAGCCGTGGTACCCTGTCCTTCCACGGACGTTGGTCTATTCATTAATTCTTTGTGTGTACTGGAGGTAGGCTGTCAGTCTCAGAAGTCTCAGAAGACTTAGGAAAATTCTCTTCTGATATTTCTTTTATCATTTCCTCCTCTTTTTTTGTTTTGTTTTGCTTTGCTTTGTTTGCTGCTCCTTCTTCTTGGAAATCACCTTATCTAAATCTTGCATCTGCCAGCTGACCATCTATTTTCTCACTGTCATTCTGATGATGTTTTCCCTTTATCCTACTTTTGGCAGTCTCCCGCCTCCATCTTCCAACTCTTGTATTGAATGTATTATTTCATCACTGTTTATGAAAATTATTTCCAGGAGCTTTTTGCACTTAGTTTTCCTGTTTGTGCCCTTTCCAGAGCATCTTGTTTGGGTTTGCTGGGTGCCACCATGTCCCAAATCACCGTGGTGATGTGAGAGTTCTACAAGAGCTGCTGCTAATTTCTGTCCTATTTTTTAAACTTTCTCAGGTCATCCTGTTTCAAGTAGCTTAGCTTTTGTCTCTCATATCTTATCACAGCAATCTTCTTAACATCGGGGGCCTTGCTATTGCTCACCGCTTAGCTTGAATAAGGAGACAGATGGAACTCTGCACAGCCAGAGCTTACTCCCTGGCAGGTTTCACCTTAGAGTAAATGACAGCAAGGGTGGCCTTGTGTTTTCAAGCCACTAAATGCCACACTGTGGAAGGCATTTCACTGGAGCACAAAGGCTTTCATGACACTAAGACATAGAGACCAGTATTAGCTGCCCTAATTCTATCCAGAAAATCAGCATCACACCTGGACTAACCAACCTTTTGGGTAGAAATTGACTGCATCTATAGACTCTCAATTCTTCCCCATTGGACCAAGGCCAGGAAAGTCAAGAGACACATACAATGCATTTAATTTGTGCAGTTTTTCAAAATTAAAAAAAATAATCCTATTATACACCAGGAGTTTTTCTAGATGATAAGAATTTAGAAGTAAATGACATGGACAAAAAGTTCTACTCTCACAGAACTTGTGGGTCTTTTCCTTTATTTTAACCAACTCTTCAGATATTTGAAACACAAAATTTTTAAAAATCATATAATTCTTGTGAAAAGACAAAAAAACTAAAAAGATTATTTTAATAGTAACTCTAGTAGTGAGTACATCAATTGTCCAGAATTTTGAAATATACTGACCATTCACTGATTAACAGACAAGTCAGGGAAATGGGAAATAAATACTTCATCTTCTTCATCAGATATTTATCACACATCTACCATGGCCAGGCAGTGAACAGGGTTCTGAGGATCGAGTGGTGAAACAAACACTGCCCTCAGTGAGATCCTGACTTGTAGAGTGAAAGATCAAACAGCAAGTACAGTGGTACCTTGGTACACATCGTTCATTGGTTCCAGGAAGCACAACGAGTACCAAAAATGTTGAATACAAAATGAATTGTTTTGGCTGGAAAAAATAGCAAGTTGCAAGGCAGCATTTTGAGGATCAAATAAACAATAAGTACTAGGACCAATTTCAAGTCAAAATGCATTGAGCACCAAATCCAATGAGTTTCAGAATAGTTAAACCATGCTACAACTGAACCATGGCCTGAATGTCTCCTTCAAAACCCAGGCTGGAGTTTTAATTGGTGTTGTAAGAGGATGAAAAGGAGAGATCCGTGAGAAGCAGTAAAGTCCTGCTCTCGCAAGTGGACTAGGCCATTATGTGGGGATGAGTTGGTTATCTTGTGGCTGGGTTATGACAAAAGTGTGAGTTCGGTGGTTTTTCTGTCTTGGGAGTGCTTGGTGATCTTTCACCACGCTATGATACAGCAATAAGGTCCTCACTGGTACCCCCATTCTGTGTGTTTCAGCCTCTAGAACTGCTGGTCTAATAAACTTCAGTGTTCATCATTTACCGAGTCTTTAGTATTTTGCTATAAAAGCAGAAAATGGACTAAGAAGTGACAAGTGGTATCATGAAGTGAGCACACAGACCACGGGGAGGGAACAAGGGCAACAAGGCAAGATTCCTAGACAAGTAGCATCTAAAGTGAAGCTGGAAGCCTAACAGGAGTGGGTCAGAGAGATGGGGAAAGACAGTTTCAGGTGAAGGCACAACAGAGGGGGAGGCCTGTGTAAGAAATCGAGTGTGAGCCATTTGGAAAGACTTGGAGGAGCACCTCAGATGCATCCATGTGTGTGGCCAAAGATGAATCTGGAAAGAAAAGAAGGGGCTAGGCTCTCAATGGTGTCTGCCAGAGGCCAAACTCTTCCAGATAATCATAAAACGCCCTTTCCTCATTTCTGGATGAATTGCACTCTAAAAGTCTCTAGAATTACAAAATCAGGGATCTATGAGCAGAGTACCAGCGATCAAGTTAGAGTTTTGATTTGCTCGTCACAATGAAAGGTAGATTTCCTCCTTGTCTTGTTAGAAATCACCTTCAAAGGGACACCCACACACACATACATACACAAACAATAAAAATTAAAAGGCTGACTTCATTTTGGGGAAAATTGGTAAAATTAAAATCCACATCTCCATCAATTAGATATAACTGCGACCAAAGTAATGAGGGAAAA